CAAAATACCTAAAGTCCATACAATCCTGTAAAAAACTTGGACCAAAATATATAGGGCCTTTTCCAATTAAAAGAATCATAAACCCAGTAACAGTAGAATTAGAATTACCAAAAAATCTCAGGCAAATACACCCAATTTTTCATTGCAGCTTGCTGTAAAGAGAGCATCAGTCAGCTTTACGGCCAAAAATCCCCCCACCACCACCTCCAGTCATGGTGGAGGGCGAACAACACTTCGAAATAAAGTAAATCCTTGACTCTAGGAGATATCATGGAGCGATTCAGTACCTAGTTGCCTGGAAACACCTCCCTCCCTCACAAAACGAGTAGGTCCATAAATGTCATGTCAGAGCCCCGAAGCTATTAAAGAAGTTTCACACAGAATACCGTAACAAGCCTGACTAACGTTTATACCTGTTTTGTTTTCTTTCAGGTGGATCTGTCATATTTTTGAGGGGCAGGATGTCAGAATCCAATTATATTTCTTCTCTAGGTATCAATTATAAAAACCCCATTTCTGCCTTCTATGGATTCTGACATACGAGGAGGGGAAGGGGGTGAACAAAGGGGCTTTATGGCCCTCACTTCCTTCGGTATACTTCAAAGGAACTGAATGTGTGTATTGCCAAAAGAGCTAACCATAAGAATGGGGCTGTTACCTTTCATGTAGTTTTCTTTGAAATGTCCATCCAGCCAGCAGAAAGGAAAAGAGGGTGGGTTGTAATGCCTGAAACTGTCGCTGGAAGAGGGGGGTGGTTGGGTGGGACTACTGGGGAACCCCTTAAAACCTTGAATGGGAGAGCTTGGACCCAAAGTCCTGTCTAGAACGCCTGCAACCATTTTCTCTTAATAAAGGATTCCTGTTGGAAGAATTATTCCAAGAGTTCTGTCTTCTTAAGATGCAAAGTGGGGTGGGTCCTTACACAATCTGAAACTTCATGAAGAGAGCTCAAGAGTTTGGAAATCTCTGATCTATGGCCAGCTTCCTCACAGGACACATATGCTTCTGCATGCATTCTTGTCAACACTCAGAGGAGTTTCTGTGAATTGAAAATTTATCTCTGAGAATACCAGAGATGTCCACATGTGACAGATAAACAAATAAATCCATGCCAATTTGGATTTTCATGATGCAGCAAAGCTTACCAGTGCTTAACCTCGGTATTGACATTTGCCTTGATTGGGTTTCCTCAGTACACTAAACCAGAACAAAATAAACCATATCATGGATTGGTAGGTTGTATGGTTTGTAAACCATAGCTCATGCTTTGATTTTTTTTCAATATATCAAAGGCCAAGTATAGTTTATCATCCTGTGAAAAGCCATTCAAATGTTACTGTGTTTATGAGGTTTGTTTCATGTTGTATTTTTTTCTATGTGAACAGCCATTAGTGATTCTTTATTGCAGCAATATACAAATATATTTGTTAAATGTGAGAAATCCAAAATTGGCAAGCAGAATTAACCATTTTTACCCCTCCACTCCTGAAAAGAGACCCCATCTCTAATGATACTTAGGCATCACAAAAAATATAAATACATGGAATATAAGATTTGAAAATAGAAATTGTATTTTAATGTGCATCACTGGAACTTGTTTAGTAGGTATGTTCCCCAACTTAGAAGAGATCTCTTCTATGAAGAAGAGAATTCAGACCAAATTATTTCCAGTTTGCCAATTTCTGCTAAATAAAGTCAGGCTTGAACTGTGGCATGTCAGGAATAATAAGAGATGACTCTCTGAATCAATTGGTTTGTTATGCTTGGTAATAATTTTGTGTATCCCACTAAACAGTACTTTATGTAACCATGACTCCTTGCATAATCTTGTATTCATACATGCTGAACAAATTTCTTTCTTCTCAATTAAACAACCACTGGCTATTTTACAAACAAAATAGAGTTTACAAACCTCACCAGCTGAGTTCAGAAATATTCAACCACAAATAAGAAATCCATATTTTAGTCAGTGATGTTTGAACCCAGACAAGGGCAGAATTCCCCCAATGCATTAGTTATGTAACAGTTCTTACCATATTTATGCAAATTCTCTATCAACTAAGCCCATTCTGTTTCATGTTCCAAGACTAGGACAAAAGCAAAAAACATTCGTTCTTGACCCCAACTCCTGAAAAGAGGATCACAATATCTTAAGAAAATGGCTAAGTTTAAACATTATGCAAAGCCACTGCTTTTTGCTTGAATAAATTCAAATTATCTGGGGTCACAGCTCCAACATAGCTGGGATTTTGTATTGGGCTAAGCCAGATACATACAAATCATATCCTAGCTGAACTCAGTGTCCCTGTTTTAAAATTGCTTTTCAGTTGGATTCATTTAAAGATACTAATTTGAAACTATAAAGCCTGATTTTCTGGAGAGAACAGTGATTAGAAGCCTAAAAAAAAAAATCCTTTACAGCTGATTTGAGATATTCCACTTCAATCTTCTCTGTTTAGGAATCAAGGATGTGCTTGTCTTAAAGTCACCTTACTTCCCTCAGTCAGTGGACGAAGGAGAAGATGGCAGTAGCATCAATAGAAGCATCTAGCAGGCATTCATAGCCATCACTATCTCCCTTCTAGAAAACATTCTATCTCAACCTGCCACAATCATCTTCTTTCCTGAAGTCCATTTTTGGAAACATGTCAACGTCTTTCAGCTTCTCATCATCTTAAGCATCCTAGTGAAGATGGGCTTTTGATTCCACAAAATTGCACAGCAGATCCATTTGGAGGCCCCAGGGCAATGGTGAAGTGCAGCTAAAAATAACTCAGGTTCTCCATTGAAGCGAGAGAAAGAAAGAAAGAATTGTCAGACCAAGGACACGAAGGCACAGAGCAATCAGGTGGTGGGGATTCAAATAAGACTCTCTAGGTCAGTGTTGCTGGCTGTGGAATTCTGGGAGTTGACGTCCACATGCCTTAAAATTGTCAAGGTTGAGAAACACTGCTCTAGGTTACCTGGGCCAATGGGGATTAATGAAAGCAATTAGATAAGATAACCTTTATTGTCATTTTTATACTGTGGGCGCAATGGCACACATCAAAAATGAAATTTAGTTGCCCGCTCTCAAAAGTGAAACATGACACACACCTAAACATACTATGAACAACATATGTATAGACCCACATCCCTACATATACGTAGCAATAAATATTAAATATTGTCCATCTTGAATGTATAACAGAAGGAGGAAGCTTGAGAGTTCGCAAGGTTAACGCTGTATGGAATGAAACTCTGGCTGAATCTGGATGTTCTGCTTCGGATACCATGAATCCCCCTCCTCCCAGAAGATAACAAGGAAAACAGGTCGTGAAGAGGATGTATAGTGTCTCAGATAATCTTATGGACTAATTTATAATTAGATCTAGACACCAAAATAGGTTAATTTCTCTCTTCCAAAGCCCATATTTGTGAGCTGACATCTAGTGATCGAAAAGCCCATTTTTTGTTTTCAAATCATTAAACAAACATACGGAACTATTTCTATCTATTTATGTGCTCAGCTCAACAGATTTTATTCTACAAACTGCCATTTTAAATCTTGGCAAAACGGTGGCAAGCAGTTTTGCAAAGTCATTTGATGCGGTATGGCAGGCTTTTATAAAGGTCGTTTTCAGACCCCAAAAAAGGATTTGAGTATTACAAAGTGCTAAAGGACTTCCTGAATGAAGCAGTGATGATGACAACACCTTCAGGAAGGATCAACATCCTGTAATTCTTTAGAGGGCAAACACATTCCCACCCCCCCCACCCCAATGGGCAGAGTTGGAGAGGGTCGGTCAGATCTTCTATGGAAAAAGACAGTCAAGGCCAGGGCAATTAAAGGGAACAGAATGGCAGTGCACAAATTGGAGCAAATAAAAATAAATAGAAAGCTCAGGAGTCTAGAATAAAAGTAGGTCAAGAAATAAAGCAAAACTGAATGGAAGGTACAAAGCTAAAGGAGCGATTCACAGGAATTATCTAAAGAGAAAAGGTGAATATTTTCGAGTCAGAAAAACAGCAGAATGGATAAAGTAGTTTACATACTGACTTGATGCTGCAGGTTCTAGCTATCCATTTAGAAAGTTCCAAAAATGTTATTTTTATTTATTGATCCATTTATTTAAACTTATTGGCCCCGGGACTCTAAATTGTAAGTACCATCAATACATAAAAGGAGGAAGTTGCGTTGTTAGATTTATATCCTCATTTTTGTACAAGGCAATGTAGATAATGGTCCCTTGCTGCCAATTTTCCCTACAAACAGCAGCCTGTGAGATGGCTTGGGGCTGAGGGACTGGCCCAAAACTACATGACCAGTTTCCATGCCAGAGGGAGTAGAACTCACAGGCTCCCCAGTCTTAGTCCAACTCCTACATCACTACACTATCTATGGATTTCATACTTAAAACCAGGGGTCCCCAACCCCTGGTTTGTGGACCGGCACCGGGCTGCAGCATGCCAGCAACCGGTCCACACAAACAAGCAAAGCCCCATCCGTGGGATGCAGGTAGCACACAAAACCACACTTCCTCCGGTCCATTGAAAAACCTCTCTCCACAGAACCGGTCCCTGGTGCCCAAAAGGTTGGGGACCTCTGCTTAAAACTTTTTTAAAAAATAAATAAAAAGACTGCATCTTGCTCCTGCTGTTCACCAGGATTGCTTCCTTCAAGCTTTACCTTGATTGCTATAATCATATAATGGAATATCAAGATGACTTGGGGGAAGAAGGAGAGACAGGAGTCCCCAGTGGCTTAATGGGCAGGGAAAGAAACTTAGGAAGGACCTGCCCTAACTGATCAGGCAGTTAAAAGTGGCAGCTGGAGGTTTGTATCTTGAGTCACCATCGTTCGCCAAGAATTAAACACAGGAGACCATTTCCTGGGTTGTTTTGTTGCTCACTGCAGCTTTGTTGCATGTAGCTTCTTCACCCACATAAAAGGCTACGAGCATTTGTACACATATACCTGAAAACATCTGTTTATGCTACGAATAATACCCAAGGCACCATGGAAAAAAATCTCGCTTTTTATTCAGAAAACACATCTCTACATTGTGAAGGCATTGAAGAGTGAGGATAGTCTGTCTCGTTTTATGGCCATCCAACAAGATATGTTAAAGGTAGTTGACCTGACCTGCCTCTCTCTTGTGGCTGGCTGGTGAACAGCACACATCATTTTGTGCTAGCAACTTAGAGAATGTCCCATTGTGTTATAATTCTACACAAGAATTGTTGTCTCCTGCTGGACAGTTTCTAAAGTATCACTCCTTTATTTATTTTTCTCTCTGTAAAACTGCAGCAGAGGACTTAAGTACAAGTTCCAGGACAGATGAATGTAAGTCATCCAGCAATGCGCATGTGACTGTTTTCAAAATAAACAGCAATTGTAGGAATCTGTTCTTTATTAAAGTGAAAATAGCAGAAGTAATCATTCACATTTTCTCATGTCCTCCATTACGATGGGTAACTTTCAGAATGTATATTTAGATGTCCAATACGTGACCTCACACATCTGGAAGATATGAGAGCTGGAAAGACCGGGAGAAATTTCAGTCCACTCTGAAAATGCTGATACATGTGCTCTGTTCATTTTTGTTCTCATTCCTATAAAAATGTAATCTCTTTTTTTTAAAAAAAAAAAATACAGAAATTAAAAAAAGCCCTTGGTGGCTTATCACCTAAATATTTACAGCATCAGTAGTTTCATACTCAGGTTCTAAAAACCCTTAAACACAAAGTCACATTACTTAAGTATCAAATGTGTTTAAAGCACTTCTTTAAAATCAGAATGAAAAAGGTAATACATACGAATGCATCTTTCTTTGGAATCCTTTTCAAAATTACAAGGGGGGAAAAAATTAAAGGCAAGTAGGTATCCAAGTGGTGTTCAATGAAATAAACCATTTCTTTCTGTTTGCAGTATCAGGGGATCACATCTGAAGTGATCCTCTTTCCAGAATAGCACATTTCAGAAATAGATAGCTCTGAAATTCAAAAGGAGTACCCAAAACGTATTTTAAAATGTCTATAATACTAAGAATCTTAAGGAATCTTAAAAGAATCCTAGCCTGCCTCTGATGAAGATGGGCTAAGACACTGTGAGGTGACCTAGTGCAGTAAGCCCAGTCCTTTGATGGCTGCTCAGATCCAGCATAAATGCTGTCCCATTTCATCTCTAGGTCCTCCTGAATCAAACTAATGCTGATGCATGAAGAGTGTTCCTGTAGCCATTCAAGACACAGAATCTGTCGTATTCCAGAAAGAGCGGAAAGAATTAAACAACCAAGCTTTCTCTGCTGACAGCATGATTCTGTAGAGGAAAGAAAAAAAAATCAAGGTTAATCATATCATAATCTTCAGAACCATTTTAAGATTAATGACACAAGATTAAAAAATAAATAACACAGCAGCTATGTACCCACAAATACACATTTTGCAGACAAGTCTCCAAGGTGCAAACACTGGCAACTTGGGACCACACTGAGACGTTAAAAAAAAGATACACGATACATCCAATACGAGAGGGAAAAAAAAACCTTTGCAACAACAGCGATTGCTACGGTATGCAACTTAATTCGATCTTAAGGGATAGGGCTAAATCCTAGGAAATCTGCTCTATTTACCCCATGCAGAAAGTACCTTCAAGTTGGTTTGTGGTTTGTCTTGTCCTGACTTACTTCAACAAGGCACAACTAGGTGGGTTTACACTGCATTACGTAGTGTAAATGCAACCAAATATATAACGAAAGATAATGCACAAACCATTCATGCACACTCAACGATAACGTGAATATTTTGCTCAAAGGAACCTTATCCATGACATCTCCATTTATAAAGCATTACAATTGTGGGTCCTTCTCCTCATTTTTTGGTCTCACCCTTCGCAGTTTGCGGTCATCCTTGCTGTGAGAAGATACAGATTCGGTCTCTGTGTACGGAGGGGGAGGAGGGGGAGGAAAGCCATTGCTATCTTCATCCCGGTTTTTCCTGTGGCCAGACCGCCCATTGGAGGCGCTTCCATGATCCAGGTCTTCACGGCTACCGGCCCGCTGCTTCTTCCGCATTGCTTCCTCCAGGAGCCGGTTATCATAATGGGTTCGCTCCAGATCCCGCAAGTCATCCCTACTTCGGCTTCGTTGTCTGCCGTAGCGCTCAGAGTCGTAGCGGGAGTCGGGGGAATAATCACGGTGATGCCATTCATTGTCCGAACCATGTTGACCCCGACTTCTGGGCCGGGAAGGGTAGGAGTCCCGTTCAAAATCATCCAGGCCATCTACCGAGTGGGAACGCGGGCGTCGGCCATGGCTTCGGGGTGGGGAGTCCTCATAACGGTCACGCCAAGGGGTGGGGGGCAACAAGCGCCGGTTCTCGCTGCTCCGTACGCTTTCCTCCTCCAAGTCCCTGATGGGAGACATGGCCTGGCCACGCAGCCTCCCCATCCCCTGCCGCAGCTCATAACGCCGGTCATCTTCATGAAGAGAGCTTAGTTCACTCATCACAGAGGCTGGAAAACAAGACAGCGAATTATTCCTCTTCCTCCCAACACTACAGGGCACTCTGCTGTGACAACTCAGTGAAGGATCAGTTGGGCACACTCTAGTTCCTACACAGCAAAGTACCTTTCTCAAGCCTCCCAGTGGGCTGCCCTGGGCGAGTAGGGTCAAAGTTGGCCAGCTCCTTCTCCATGTAGTAGAGCACCCGCATGGAGTCATCCTGCTGGTTGGCTTGGATGCGATAGCCACTGCGCACAGCTGGGGAAGAGAGATCAGGAGCAGGCTTTAGGATACAGGGCGGGTGTTTTTTATTTTTAAGGAGCCATAAGCCTGGAGGAGATTGCCAAATAGGTTGGCAATCCTGTGAGCCACCCACCACTGGGTGCCATTCCAACTGCCATTGAAATTGAAAGAGGAGGCAGGACCTGCTTTGCCAATTGTAATCCCTCTTGTGCTTTGCACCAAGGGCTGCCGCTTGAAGCAGACAGAGCAGGTGGCGTGAAGCACTCAGGGAGGTTTTGTTATCTCTTGCTTCAGTAAGCTCAAGGTTGTAACACTATAGACCAGAAGTATATGTATGTTTTCTCTCCTGTTAAGAGGAAAGATCTTCCTGCTGAACTGAGAATTTATCTCGAAGATCCAACTTTTGATGATCTCTTCGGAGAAAGGATCAATTAGCTGAGGTCCAGCAAAAGCTTGCATGAATCTCTGTCTCAAGAAATGATCAGGTGCATCTCTTCAAAAAGCAGCTATTCTGACAAGTGTTTGGAAGGGGGAGGGTTGTTTAAAATGAATTTGGTTTAATTTTATGAAGTTTAGATCTACTGAGCTTTCACCTTGGATAATAACGAGGTGGAAATCCTGACACAGCTGTGTGGCACCAATTAGAGAAAAGGCGCCCTGGTGGGGGGAGGGTGTTTCTATCTAGATGTTTCTATGTAGAGGGTAGATCTAAAAATTCAGCTGCAAAGCTAGTGCCACTCCATAAGCCAAGCACTACAACAGTGTTTCCTATTCTATGTGGTAGGAAGGAGAACTAGCATCACCTTCAGCTGTAAACAGCTGGATCAGCCAACTGTAGCAACATGATAATTATAATTCCTCTGATGAACAAAATGTTGAATCATCAGAGGCAGTTTCCCCACAACCAACCATAATATCTAAGCAAACTCAGTATTCCATTCCATGTTTCTTACCAGCGTTTGCAACACTTTCAGTATCCCTCAGGAGAGGCACTTGGGAACTGTTTCCACCAACTGCAATGCAATCGAAAGACAACAAAAAGTTCCCATAAAAGGGATGTGAGTCATGCAACCAGTACTAGGCAGGACAAATTACCCCATGGCTGTATTTCTGAATCCTAGCAGTGGCCTGCAATACAACACTGTAAGCTACGCTTTCATTAAGCACATTACAATGCAAGTCCTAACAAGCCATAAAATAAAAGGCTAGTTCAGGGATAGGCAACCTTGGCTCTTTTATGACTCTGGCTCAGGAATTCTGAGAGTTGAAATCCACAAGTCATAAAAGAGCCAAGGTTGCCTACCCCTGGGCTAGTTGGTCTTTCTGTTTAATGCAAAAGAACCAGAGGTTCAAGCAAATCTGAGAGAATTCTTCCCTTCCCCCAATTAATTATCAACTGATTCCAATTGTCCATGAGATCTAGCATTAGGGAGACCCAGAAGAGGTATCCAATTAGATTAAGGATAATCCAAAACGCAATCTAGGGGATAACCCAAAAGGATAAACCTCAGAGTAGCACAAGGTCTTTTAAACCAGGGTTCCCCCAACTCCTGGGCCATGGCCTGTTCAAAGCATGCATGCATGAAGCTCCACTCACATAAATGGTGGGCACGAATGCGCAAAGCTCCACTCATACGAGCAGAGGGCACTTGGGCTCATGAGCAAAGTTCCATTTAGGCCAGGGGTAGGCAACCTTGGCTCCTTTATGACTTGTGGACTTCAACTCCCAGAATTCCTCAGCCAGTGCTGGCTGAGGAATTCTGGGAGTTGAAGTCCACAGTCATAAAGGAGCCAAGGTTGCCTACCCGATTTAGGCAAATGGAGCTTCGCACGTGAGCACCCTCCCCTCACATGAGTGAAGCTTCGCATGCGAGCACAAGCTTCCTCCACTCAAGCATCCTCCGCTCACGTGACTGGAGTTTCACGCACAAGCACAAGCGCCTTCTGCTCACAGTCCCCCCCCCCTGCACTGGGCCAGACCGCCAAGCTGGAAAGGTTGGTGACCACTGTTTTAGACAGTTAATTCCACTAGTTGGGATCTAGCTGGATCAACATAAATTCAGTCGAGAGAAGCCACTTACCTGAGCTGGCTCGATCATAATCCACTCCGTAACCATTGTACATTGGAGACCTTGGGCCCATAGGGATCATGGCGGCTGGGGGAGCTGGTTTCAATGGATTGCTGGAGGCATAAATACTGGGTGCATAAACACTGGGGACTCCAGATGTTGCAGCTTTCCCTGCTACATACACTGGAAAGACAAGATTTCCTTATAAAGGTCTGGTGTTTGCTTTTTAAGACACGCTGCATAGAACAAAGGCCCTGCAGGACACTTGGGGAGGGATTACAACCCACCGTTACAGCCATTAACCTTGAGAATGTGATCCCTGGATCACATTCGATTTCTTTGCCGTCTTCTGAGATTAATAATAGTGCTTCTTTTTTCAATTTAACCGATCGTGGGTTGGGAGGGGGAGGGTATGGTGGTAAGAGAGGCAAGTAAAGAATCACAGAATATTGATCATCTGTACAGATTGTCCTTAACTTACGGCCACTCGTTCAACAGTGGTTCGAAGTTGTGACAGCACTGAAAAAAGCTGTCTCAAAGCTACAACTAGCACACCAGGTCCTAATTGTGATTTGGGCACTTGGCAACTAGGTCACACTTATAATAGTTGCCGCAATCTGTAGTCGCATGATCACAATTTGAGACTTCCGACCAGCAAAATGAATAGGGGAAGCCAGATTTGCTTAACAACCATGGTTAAAAAAAATGATCTTAAATCTGGTCTGGTCATATCATGACTTGCTTAACAACTGCATCACTTAGTGACCAAAATTCCATTGCCAATTATGATCCTCAGGCAAAGACTCCCTTTACTTAAATGTTCTTTGGAATCCCTTTACGTTTGACTGTCAATGAGAGCCTCAGAAACAAAACAGCCTAACTTTAAACACACCCTGAATACTCCCAGCTTAGGAATCTAGATAGCCAATTTCAACTCTATTACAGTAGTTCTGAGCAATATGGCCTCAGCATGCCCACCCCTCTCTAGCAATGCCCTGCTAAGCATTTTCCCCTTACCCATTGCCCTCCCAATGTGCTGGACCGAGTTCCAAATCTCCAGCAGCCAGCAAGGGTTTACAGCACTCCCAACCCAACACAGCTGGAAGCCACCAGACTGTGGAACATGATGGATATTTTGCTTGAGTAAATATGAATAACAAACAGGCCAACTTACAAGTAGAAGAACCTGTTCGATGAGACCAGCACAAGAGGGGGGATATGATAGCAGCATTCCAATATCTCGGGCTGCCACCAAGAAGAGGGAGCCAAGCTATTCTCCAAAGCGCCGAAGGCAGGACAAGAAGCAACGGATGGAAACTGATCAAGAGAGAAGCAACCTGGAATTAAGGAGAACTTCCTGAGAGTGAGAAAAATTAACCAATGGAACAACCTGCCTCCAGAAGTGATGAATGCTCCAACACTGGAGGTTTTTAAGAAGAGACTGGACAGCCATTTGTCCGAAATGGTGTAGGGTTTCCTGCCTGAGCAGAGGGTTGGACTCGATGACCTCCAAGGTCCCTTCCAACTTTATTATTATTATTATTTTGGATCATCGCATAGTCAGCCAGATGTTCAGACTGGATTTGGCATTTTGTCTACCTATCGAGTCCTTACCCAGGACCTGGGATAGGCAGATGTGGATGTTTGATGGTATTAAAGATATCATCGCAGGATGGAAGCAGTTCCTAATAAGGCCGCCTTTTGCAATTGACTAATAGCGAATTTGTCAATGCCAATGGTGTTCAAGTGGTGCTCCAGTTGTTTTGGGATTGCACCCAAGGAGCCTATTACTATTGGTACTACCCTTGCTTGCTTTTGCCACAGTCTTTCTATTTCTATTTGTAGGTCTTTGCATTTTGTTATCTTCTCCAGTTCTTTCTCATCTATTCTGCTGTCTCCAGGCACTGCCACGTCCACTATCCAGACTTTTTTGTCTTTCTTATCGACAATTGTTAAGTCTGGGGTGTTATGTTGCAGGTGCTTGTCTGTTTGAATTCTGAAGTCCCAGAGCAGTTTAATTTTATCATGTTCTATGACTTTCTCTATTTTATGATCCCACCAGTTTTTGCTTACAGGCAAATGATATTTTTTGCAGATCTTCCAATGCACAATTGTTGCTACTTTGTCATGCCGCTGCTTGTAATCAGTTTGTGCAATCTTCTTGCAACAGCTTACCAAGTGGTCCACTGTTTCTTCAGCTTGTTTGCATAGGCGGCACTTACTGTCTGTTGCTGTCTTCTCAATTTTGACTTTGTATGCATTTGTCCTTAAGGCTTGGTCTTGTGCAGCCAGAATTAGTCCCTCGGTCTTTTTCTTCAATTTTCCTGCTCTTAGCCATTGCCAGGTCTTATTATTATCTGCTTTTCCAACTATTTTTTTTACTGGCCATGTAGTGCTTTGCCTTCCCATGCCTCTAATCTGTTCTTCATTTGGTCTTTCTTGTAGGCCAGTTTGGTCTCTCCAGTAGTCAGTAAGCCTTCCTGATATACTAATTTCAGTTCATCTTCATCATTGTTCTATTACTACTACTACTACTACTACTACTACTACTACTACTACTACTACTACTACTACTACAGAAGTTTTGAGATCATCATCATCATCATCATAGTAATAATAATAATAATAAAGTTGGAAGGGACTTTGGAGGTCATCTAGTCCAACCCCCTGTTCAGGCAGGAAACTTTATACCATTTCAGACAAATGGCTGTCCAGTCTCTTCTTAAAAACTTCCAGTGTTGGAGCATTCACCGCTTCTGGAGGCAGGTTGTTCCACTGGTTAATTGTTCTCACTGTCAGGAAGTTTCTCCTTAGTTCCAGGTTGCTTCTCTCCTTGATTAGTTTCCATCCGTTGCGTCTTGTCCTGCCTTCAGGTGCCTTGGAAAATAGCTTGACTCCCTCTTCTTTGTGGCATCCCCTGAGATATTGGAACACGGCTATCATGTCCCCCCTTGTCCTTCTCTTCATTAGACTAGACCAGGGGTAGGCAACTTTGGCTCTTTTATGACTCGCGGACTTCAACTCCTAGAATTCCTGAGCCAGCACAGCTGGCTCAGGAATTCTGGGAGTTGAAGTCCGCGAGTCATAAAAGAGCCAAGGTTGCCTACCCCTGGACTAGATAGACCCAATTCCAGCAACTGTTCCTTATCTGTTTAATCACTTCCAGGGGAAAGGTGAAACCAGGTCCGTAAAGGGAACTTACGTGCTTCGGGGCAGCAACACCTCTCTGGGCAACAAGGACATCGGACATAGCAGCAGCAGGTATGGGGGCAGCACTGGCACCAACAGATTCCAAGGAGCAGGAAGACCAGAAAGAAGGCCAGCACAACCAAGACCACAAAGACCCAATCTAGGAAGAAAGCATCGGAAGCAGCCCTTAGAGATAAAGCCAATGAATCCCACTGGATCGAGAGAGTCGGCTATTACGGTTTGTGAACATCTGCCAAGAGTCTATAAAGATGGGCAAAACAATCCCAGCATCTCACTCACAGCACTCTGATTGCTATCAAAAAAAAAAAGAGTTTTAGTTCTAATGATATGCACTGAGTGCCCTGTTCTGGAAGACGGCAGTGGAAGACTCCCAGAAACATTGATTTCAAAGAATCCCCTCGTTTGAGTTTGATCAGTGGAGCAAAAGCCAAAATAAGGGAGTCCCTGTAGGCTTTAAGACATTGTTTCTCAACCTTGACAATTTTAAGGCCTGTGGACTTCAACTCCCAGAATTCCACAGCCAGCATTGCTGGCTGTGGAATTCTGGGAGTTGAAGTCCACAGGCCTTAAAATTGTCAAGGTTTTGAAACACTGCTTTAAGATAACAGTCCTTGTTTAGCAAAGGATGGGCAGACTTCTGGAATGAACTGATCTGTTGAGATGGCCATGCCGTTTCAGGTGCAATTTCTGCATTCCTCTTTAATGCTGATTTTGTTTCACTTGCACATATCCCCTGTGATGTATAACACCGGCTCTGAGCATTTCCCCCTCCCCCTCCCTCCATTATTTGTAGAGTGTTGGACTTTATTACAGGGACAATTTATACTTCGTGACAATGTGGATAATTCCACCTACCAAATACCTCTGGGGGATCTGAAAGAACATTTCTTAAGCAGGACCTATCAATCCCAACAAGGGAGATTCTCGACTTTAACTCACACTAAACAGAAAGTCATTTCAAAAGGGGGGGGGAATAGAACAAGGGCACAGGACTGATAACACTTTAGACTCAGAAGTGGCTTTTCCAAACGAGGTGGCCCAGCATACCCCAGCTTGTCATAATGGTCAATACAGGAAGGGAAGAGCACATCCTAGCTGGCATTCCCAACATCATAGAAAGTGAGGGGTATGAAGCAGACTGTGGATTTTGCATTTGTAATTCAGCCAAAAGCTCCACAACACAATATCCCTGTGCTGAAGCCCACATCTTTTGCAGTAGTGCCAAGGGGTACTTTTTTTACAATGTTATGAGGAGAACAGAAAAGTCTATATCTTGTAATAGCAAGGTCACGATAAAAAAAAGACAGACAGACAGACAGACAAGCATTTCAGAACCCTTTGCATTCCAAGCACTTCTACTTCTAACTTTGAGAAATTCAAGGAGAGGAAAAATTAAAATAATAGGAGTGGAGTCAACCGTTTCCCAACCACTTAACAATTAAGCATGGAAGAAAAAGGCAGTACCTTCCATATGCCCTATCTGAAAGCCTGGCAAAAGCTCTGAGACACCGGAGGACTTGCCTACAGAACAAAAAACAAACAACCAGGAAAAAGTTATGAAGAGATCTGGCTGACACGGAGGTAAGTCTTTCTAAGCCAGAGGGGGGGCTTGCTGAAAAGCATTGGCTGAATTCTATCGGATACAGTACAGTAAAAGCTGCCAGGAGGTTTTATAAAGAGTTGAAGGGGACTAGTTAGTAAAGTATTTACAGTAGAGCAATGACTGTGATCGCAATATGGGTGCTTAGCAGCTGGCTCGCAATTATAAAATTGTAGCATCCTGCAGTCATATGATCGCCATTTGCAACTTTCACCGCTGGCTTTTGTCAGTGGGGAAGATTGCAGAAATGTGCTGATCACGGGATGCTGCAATCTCGTGGGATTCACCTAAAGATGGCAACTGGAGCCGCCATCGTAAGTTTGTGCAGTCATGTGACCTTACACTTTATGACTTCTGTTGCTTGGCAATGGAGGAGCGCTGAGTCTCAATTACCGTTGTCAACCAAGGGCCACCTGCAACCTTCACAAGCAACTGCTCTTACACAGCACGAATATCCTAACACTGAGCTTAGATTAACTTGATGCTTCACTGGAATCCTTGCATGGAAATTAATTGCAAATGAGAGGCTGAAAAAGCAAAAGCCAGACTGCTGAACCAGCACAGTCCAGGAATTAGTCAACAATCTACAATTTGCACACACATCCTTTCATGCATGGGTTCGCTTCTATCTCCCCACAGGTTTCCTTGATTTCAATAGTCTAACTTGGACGATAAGACAAACTGTGTCACTTGCTGTTCCACACCAAGAGTTAGCGCTCTTGCCAAGCTAATACAAATCCATTTGGAATATTCTCAGTAATTGATCAACCTTCTGGCCACCTCCGTTGCCCAATGCAGCCTTCTCAATTATTTAGCTAGTCAATTTGGCTGGTCCATAATGACTGTACCCGAGACAGTTTTCCGTTCTTTTTAAAATTAGTTTCAAACTGGCCCCAGGGAAATGCACGGAGAAAATAAAATGTACACGTTCTGCAGCAACGGGTTATCCATACAAGCAAGGCATAATTCTTTCATCAGAGAAGTGATGAGCGTTTGTATATCCATATACCTAGCTAAGCTTACAGCTTTCATCTTCCAGATATGAGCAAAGCTTAAAGGCGTCAAGACGGGTGTTTAAGTGAGCATTGCCAAGGGCCTCTCAGTCAGGAAAAGGAACGTGCATACAAACACATACACACCCTTATGGAGCAGTATATTTGAAAGGCTTCCCTTCCCACATATTGCCATACTTTCTTTTTTTTAAAACAATTCATCCCGGCACAACCAGGTACACCATCCATCGCAGCTCTCAGGAGTTTGGCAGGAATAGAACAGGAACTCTGGTATCTGAAGGGAAACAGACCCCCTCACTGCCTGTAATATGAAACCCAACCTCAAAACAACAATGTTGAAGTGAGCTGTGCATCAAGGCTACGCCAGGCGCACAAGCTTCTGCTTGCTCTGCTCCCTCTAGTGGGAAAAACTCTCACACAATTCTCCAGGGAGCATGTTGACGTCAACATTAGAAATGCATGGGAAGAAAATCAGGTCACAAGCACCAGCCAGGATTTTAGAAGCTATATAGCACGGGTCTTCAAACTTGGCCCTTTTATGATTTGTGGATTTCAACAGAATTCCTCAGCCAGGCACACTGGCTGAGGAATTCTGGGAGTTGAAGTCCACAAGTCATAAAAGGGCCAAGTTTGAAGACCCCTGCTATATAGGGTCACACCAATAAGCCCAGTATCCAACAACCCAGAGTGGCCAGCCAGATGTTTCAGAGAAGCTTACCGGAAAAGTATGAAACTTGATAGCTCTCCCTTGCTTTATATCTTCAGTACAACCTATTCAGTTCTTATGCATGGAGGTTTCCTATAGCTAACATGGTGAGAAATTATAGATAGTCCTTTTCTACTCTGTTAATTTGTCTAACGCTTGTTTTAGCTTTCTTCTATCGGATATATTGTATGTATGATTTGTGAGCAGAGGGTCTTATTCATTTGGGTAACCTATGATAATGGCATAACGTGGATTTTAAAATATATTCTTAAATTACTATTTCAGCTCTATATACTTTACTCAAGAGATTCAAACATAATACAGAAGAGAAACTTCAAAAGTGATTTTTCAGTGTCATGTTTAAGAGCATAATTTTAAAAGAAGACATTGGCGGAGGAGGCTAAAGACAGTTGTCAGCATTTCTATTGATTTTTCTGGATAAAGCCAAGGAATCTTTTAGAGCAGTGTTTCCCAACCTTGGCAATGTTAAATTGTGTGGACATCAACTCCCAGAATCCCCTTGCCAGAATGCTGGCTGGGGAATTCTGGGAGTTCAAGTCCTCACAGCTTAAAGTTGACAAGGTTGAGAAATATTGCCCAGGAATGTTTGGATGACAGACAATCGCCACGTTGATTGACATTTAAGACAGCTGGATCTGAACCTTTCTTGGGGTGAGGTGCCTGGTTCTGGAGTGGAACACAAGATTCATGTTCAGAAAACTCCTCTTTTTATTCCTGTTATTTTAGGACAGCCTCTCTAGGAAGGAGCACTGAAGGTTTGGAAGGCCTACATAGCTCTCCCCTGCTTTTCATGACAGATAGTCATAAAAAAACAAGTAAAATGCATGCCGATTTGCTTATGACAAACTAACTGAAGAGCATCATTTTTAAAAAGCAGCCAAAAATATAAGCTCTCATAGCCAGGATCAATGTTATAAAAGCAAGCCAGTTGGCACTGCTCATGGAAAGGAGAAATAGAACAATATTGGCTTTCCACCATTCCCCACTGCCCCACTTAAAAATGGTTCCTCTACTACAACGGTGTCAAACACAATTGTGTCATGTGACGTATCGTGACATATCGCAATGTTTTTTGCTTTTGCGGAGCTGGGGTGGGCATGGCCTACATGTGACGCATCTGGCCCGCGGGCTGCCAGTTTGACACCCCTGCTCTACTACAATGTTTTTCAACCTTGGCAACATTAAGATGTGGACTTCAACTGCCAGAATTCCCCAGTCAGCATCTCACACATGTTAAAGTTGCCAATATTTGAGAAACACTGCTAGACTGCAACGAGGGCACTGTTTCATGGGCAAAGTGTGTAAAGAAATAATCTTTGTGAAAATAAAAGAAATATTAACCTGTTTCAGAGTATCCTGCTTTGTCTAGCATACTGGCATTTATTTTAATGACCACAAAAGAATACAGAAATATCCCTGCTCAGACACACCTAGGTATGAAAAAGATGGCGACAGCGAGAGAAGTAGCAGCATGTAAACAGTGTTAAGGCCAGCACATAGTAAAGGAGACAGAACAGTGCTGAAGTCCCAGGCATGAAACACATATACTCTTAAGTCTCAGGCTGGACCTATACAGATACAGAAGAAGAAAAAAAGGGAGTAGAGCAGATTGGAGTGCCTCAGTTTAAAACACAAATGATTAGGAGTGGTTCTGAATTTTCTCTTCTACTTAAAAAAAAAGAAAAGTCCAAATCTGTAAATAAAAAATAGGTCAGGTGGGATAAAAACTGTAGCTAGCTTTCTCCTTGACATGGTTACATATGTGTTCATGGGTCATGCTTTGCTTAGACAAATATTGCTTATACAACATGCAAAGCCTTAAACCATGATTTACAAACTACAACGGCTAGGTTTGCTAAATATGCTATGTCAAACAAAACCAACCACACCATGCTTTGGTGCATGTGTGAACCAAGGCTGTGTGCATTTCTTTTTGTAAGCAATAAAGATGCTTTTCTTTTTCAGTAATAGGAGCTGCATGCCATGAACTCATTCCTTCTGTGGGCAAACCACAACCAAATTTTACCTTTTTAATGGATGGGAGGTAATGTTGCCAGTTTTGTGAGCAACATCCTTTTTGCCACCCAAGTGGCTTCATACCTGTGGGAGACTAATGTGATTATTATCTGCATGCAATAAGAGTGTTCTCACTTACCCAATACAATGAGTTCAGCATAGGCTTCGTTGTTGCCTTGCAAGTCTTGAGAAGATGTCACGGTGCAGTAATAAACACCACTGTCCCCCCAAGCTGTCTGATCTATGCTGAGGTCAGCATCTACAGAAAGAATGAACAAAAAAGGAACTATCAAAATAGACACCAAAATCAATTCTTCAACAGATGCTCAAATAAAGAATATTCTTCATATTAATTCCCTATATCTTTGCTCAAAGTTGCACCACTGCAATAAAGAAACCTGAGGATGGTTAAAAAGAAGAAATTATTTATGAACTTAACAATCAGCTGAATGTTCTCATGATAAAAAGAGTAGAAAAACAATGCCAATCCATTATTATTTACCTATTTTCCTATTATCTAAATCCATTTCTCATTTGAAGAAAGAAATGAATATAGCTGGCTGATGAGATGTTTATGGTTATTGGTTATGATTACATTGTATCTTTCCTTTAGAAGCTCCAAGTAACATCCATAGTGTTCCCGCTTTCTTTTTTCTTTTTGCCCTCAACCACAACTTTGTGAAATAGGCAGGCTGTGAGGAAGTGAATTGCACAAAGTCAACCAGTGAACTTATGAAGGAGGAACAAAACCTAGGTCTCTCACTCCAAACCCAACATCATTGCATCATTCTAGTTCTATTCCCAGCATAGTGTAAGTACACATTCAGGTGACTTGGTTACTAATTCTTTAGTAGCATCATAAACCAACAGCTAAAATGTGCTACTATGTAATTGTATCCTTGCTGGTGCAACACATCAGCAAAGCTGGGGGGGGGGGGGAGAAATCACCCAAATTTCCTCCCTTTGGGATTTTTTTTTAACTATTAGTTCATTCCATCCCATGACTATGTCACTGTACCTATGTATAACTGTCCTGTGGGTCATGAGTAACTTCAAAAATATGAGTAATGTGCTATTTCACACAAAAAGAACCCCGTCCTATTATATAGAAAGGTTATTCTCTAGATATCTTTTCTCTTTCTATAATACAAGGATACACCAGAACCAAATTTACAGACCCCCCCCCAAACCTTATAGACCTGAGATAAGCAATGAATTAATGCAATACTATGAAAATGGGAAGAAATCCCTCAAAATAAATACATTTGTTGTTCTTATTGTTCAGTCATATTCAATTCTTGGAGACTGCGTGGACCAATCCCTGCAGTTTTCTTTGCACGGTTTTTCAGAAGTGGGTGGCCACTGCCTCCTTCCTGGGGCTGAGAGAAAGTGACTGGCCCAAAGTCACTCAGCTGACTTTGTGCCCAAAGTGGGCTATAGATTGGAATTTGAGTCTTGAGAGCCCTACTTTGCTTAAATCTGTATACACAGCCAAGCGCAAGAGGCTTACAAGGCAGCAAAGTATTCCACTCCAACCTGAAAGATGTGTGCTTTACTGAAAGAAGGACAAAATATTGGAAACATTAGATAACTTTCTTAGAAGCCCAAGAAGTAGAAAAAAAGGCTTCTAAGTTTCATTTCTCATTTGATTCAGCTGCTTCTCCCTTAATGCACAGTCTCTGCGAAAGGCTAGACCAGAGGTAGGCAACCTTGGGTCTTTTATGACTCATGGACTTCAACTCCCAGAATTCCTGAGGCAGCCATGCTGAGAAGAAAGGGAGAGGTTTCCATGCTGAGCCATGCTGGCTCAGGAATTCTGGGAGTTGATGTCCATGAGTCACAAAAGAGCCAAGATTGCCTACCCCTGGGCTAGACCTAAAATTTTTGGAAATCTGTCTTCTCCTGTGTGGGAACAAGCCAGTTGACAGAAAGAAAAGCCCTCTCCTCCACTTTCCTGGTCCAATTTTGAACTTATAGATCAGGGGTCTTCAAACTTGGCCCTGTAATGACTTGTGGACTTCAGCTCCCAGAATTCCTCAGCCATGTGCCTGGCTGAGGAATTCTGGGAGTTGAAGTCCACAAATCATAAAAGAACCAAGTTTGAAGACCCCTGTTATAGATGATGATTACATGCCATAAAGTAATTGTCATCCCTTAGCTATTACATGGGTAGATTGCACTTACAGATCAATGTCTTCTTTAACTTGAGTATTAATACAAGAAGATTGTGTCCTGCATTCTGGAAGGATTTAACAAGTACAGCCAAAAGGATTAAAATGAAGTAGGATATAATACTGTACTGCAACACAAAAAATCAGAATGTGTCCTTCAAATAAGATTACCTATTCAATGGGGTTTCCAGAGTCTGTTTTCATTTCTCCTAATGTTTCAAGCCCATATGAATATTAAAAACCACTTTAAAATGTATAAATAATTTTGCTTAAAGAAGTAACCACTAAGGGGATGTATATGGAAAATCGTAATTGTTCTATTACGGTTTCCAACTCACTCCCCTAATATCTCCTGTATCTCTCACACTGCAGCATCTCATAAAGCCCATTTTTCAAGCAACTATTATACCAAATTCAGAAGGTGACAGAACAAAATGCTTCTTTATCGTTTCCAAGAAAACAACATGGATATATTTGCAAAGTCACCAGGAGATTTTTGTTAATCACATGAATGCCATTTTTTTTTAAATCTTACCAATTTGCTACTAGACCAGGGGTAGGCAACCTCAGCTCAGCTATGCTATTTCAGGAATTCTGGGAGTTGAAGTCCATGAGTCATAAAAGAGCAGAGGTTGCTTACCCCTGTACTAGACGAAAATTCAAAATAGTAATAGTAGTAAAGTTGGAAGGGACCTTGGAGGTCATCTAGTCCAACCCCCTGCTCAGGCAGGAAACCCTACACCATTTCGGACAAATGGCTGTCCAGTCTCTTCTTAAAAACTTCAGTATTGGAGCATTTACTGCTTCTGGAGGCAGATTGCTCCACTGGTTAATTGCTCTCACTGTCAGGAAGTTTCTCCTTAGTTCTAGGTTGCTTCTCTCCTTGATTAGTTTCCACCCATTGCTTCTTGTCCTGCCTTCAGGTGCTTTGGAAAATAGCTTAATTCCCTCTTCTTTATGGCAGCCCCTGAGATACTGGAATACTGCTATCATGTCCCCCCTTGTCCTTCTCTTCATTAAACTAGACATAGCCAATTCTAGCAACCGTTCCTTATATGCTTTAGCCTCCAGTCCCCTAATCATCTTTGTTGCTCTTCTCTGTACTCTTTTCTAGGGTCTTAACATCTTTTTTACATCGTGGTATGTATCAAATTACAATATTAAGAAATGCAGTCCAAATAAGCAAATTATTGTTGTGGTCTTTTGATTTTTGTGTCAGTTGTAGAAGCCCTGGCTATTGGACAAAGAGAATTAGATTAACACTAAAAATATGGGCTCTCTTGTCTAACAGCACAAACAATGGACGGAGCTGCCCTCTTAGCATGACACTGATCAAAAGATTTCTCCAGGCTCCAGATTTCATGTTTACCACTGGTGTGGTTCTACTAACTCCTTAAAAAGGCACCACTTTGGAGCTGTTAGTCCTTTCCTCAGAACGCTAAGTGAATCTCATCTCTTGCTGACTTCATGAATACATGTACACTCTCCAGAATCACATCATTTGAGTTTGGTGGCCTCATAACTCTAGTTAATAAATATTTAATCTCCTTGGCCACGGAACAGTAGTTCACCTTCTTCCAAGGAGCTTCCAAGTTTAGGATCCCTATTTATTGCTTTAATGTTTGGTGGTATACTTCAATTGTATGTCTGTAAGCTGCCTAGTCACCTCAAGTGAGATGGTAGCATACACATTTAATAAATAAATAAATAAATAAATACTCCCAGTTTATCTGACACTTTGCAGGTTTATTCATTTATTTATTTGATTTCTCTAGCCGCCCATCTCAAACAGGTTCCTGACTAACATGCTGATCAAGTCATGGCTTTCTTTACACGTGAGAAAGAATAAGCATGAAATGACAGAGTTCTGGTTTGTACATTATGAAGTCATAAACTGTGTACAGGGAGAGCATGACAATATTTTACTTGCCCAAGTCAGTGGCTCTTCAGGAAGCAGCTTTCTTTGGGCTTAGAAAAGAACAGTCACTAATGATGCAAAGGGGGCATTGGGCAATGTGGAAAATAAAATAATTTGATAGTATAATCAATGCAACATACTAGTGATGCACCAGTGACCAACACTGCTTACTTACTAAGTAGCTGTTCATATGAAATATGATTCTCTTTTCTCCCTGGAGACAAAAATAAGAGTTTGTTTGAAGAAGGGAATCATCCTTGCTTATAGGAAGCTGAGCTGAGCTGACCTAATGCTATTTTATGCAAACATTTCAAGAGAATGGCGCCAAGTAAACCCATATGTGTGGGTGTAAACACGGGCAACATGGCAGGGGTTGTTCAGAATTGCAATCAAATTCATCAGGAAGGCTAAGCAGAGCGAGAAATATCTGAAACTGTAGTGAACTTATGGAACCACTTATGAAATGTTTCAGTAATGAGACTAAGGAATGTGGTGCACAAAATATGTCAGAATGCCGCAGTCTCAGGAACAGACAAAAACCTTAACAGCAAAACTGCTAGAAGGGTCCTACGTGAATCTGTAATTGAGCGAATGGATCTACCCAATTCACGATCTTCCAAGTTCAGCATTTGCAAAATGGCTTGCTATACCGACAAATTTTGTTAGCAACAGGGCAATAAAACCTGCAAATTATTTTCAGCTTTCTTTGTCTCCTTTCAGACATAAATTATATGTCTGAAAAGCACCTTCATGTACGCAGCAGTTTTGGTTCTGGACAGCACCCTGCTATATAATTTAAATTCTCTCATAGGGTGATAGTCTAATTATAAATAAATAAATAAATTCATCAACATTGGCAGTAAGGCTGAATCAACAGTCTGTACCATTTCAAATGAGGAAATATTGCTTTAAAAATCATCATAGAAGCATAAACCCTGCCAATGTTGTTTCTGATGGTATGATCAGCCTCAATCAAGCCTCTTCATTGGAAGTAATGAACCATGATCTACCATCCTGGTCCAGTATAGGTTTGCAAGGAGATGAGTTTTTTTTACCTCCCAGTCTGGGGGCTAAGAGAAAGTGATTGACTCCAACCCATTCAGCTGGTTTCCATGGCTGGGGGAGAACTAAAACCTAGGTCAGTGATGGCGAACCTATGGCACTTGTGCCAGAGGCAGCACTCGGAGCCCTCTCCGTGGGCACGCACACCGTTGCCCCAGCCCCGCCTCCCCCCGTGGCCCCCTCCTTCCTAGCAGCCCCCCTGGAGGAGTCGCCCCTGGGCACAGCCCACGCAGAGCAGTGCAGCCAAGGACATGGCAGCCAAGCAGCAGGGACAAGACTCTGCCCTCATGCCCTGTTGCGCACAGATGATGCTTCGGGGCACGGGCATGGGCGCCATGGCGTCGCAGGGCTGCCTGGGCAATCTGCGGTGGGCCGTGGAGGCAATGGGTAGCCCTGTGGGCAGACGGGGGTGGGGCAGAGTGGGGGTGGAGTGGGAAGGGCAGGGTGGAGCGGGACGGGCCAGAGGCAGGACAGTTTTTGGGCACTTGGTCTCTAAAAGGTTCGCCATCACTGACCTAGGTCTCCCCATTCCTAGTGCAACATCATGTCAGCACAAGGAGGAGGACGAGAACAAACCTCTACCTAGCATCAAGCAGAAAGTATGCATGCTAGTTTTCTAGACGTACAATACTTTTTCTGCAAGAGTCATTCAAAACATTATTCCCACAACTCTTTGTTTCTGAACCATGACAAATTTAAGATGCCTGGACTTCAACTCCCAGAATTCTCTAATCAGCATGCTGGCTAGGGAATTCTGGGAGTTGAAGTCTACAAGATTTAAAGTGGCCAGGATTGAGAAATACTGCTCTAGCATACAAGTTACAGTTCCACTGCTTCTCTTTCAATACAATTTCTACCTGCTCTTCATACAATTATGGAGGATGTGTAGAAACAGATATAAGTCATTATTTTCAAAACCCAGGAGGATGTTCACTATGTATTCTTGCTCTACTGCTTAAACCTTATTTCCATTTTTCTTAATAGAATAAAACTTTGAGCAAGACTTTAATCACACTAACAATTAAAATTCCACAGCAAAGCCAAAAAAACAGATTAATACTGGGTGAATAACTTCTAATAAGGAAATCTCAAGTTCACCATGCCTGCCTAACAGTGTGTAGGTCAGCAGCAAAGAAACATATACTGCTTAAGATAGCTGTTTTTATAATATGAATATCACATGCCCCTTAGACTTCAACCTGATTTTCTGTGTTTTAGATGTTAAAAAAAATCAGTGAAGGAAAATTACAAATATACAACAAAAATATAAAACATCCAAATTGAACAGTCATGATCTAATCTTTGTAGAACTTGAAAGAAAATTCCTGTTGATTACACCATGATTTTGGGGACAGGAGTTATGCAGTAAATGAGAGAAAAACATGTAGCATTTCTAAAACTGACCATTGGTGCTTGTTTTAGAACATGTTATCACAGGCTGTGGGGTATTGCCATGGACTTTTGACCTGCTAAATTCATCAGTGTTGTTCATTCTTGTTTTGAACTTCCCTTCAAGTTCTTGCTATAGTTATGAAAAACAACACTCACATTAAAAATAAAGTAATATTCACAGTCTAGCAGTGGTTTTCTGACACACATCATATACAGTAAGAGAAAATTACAAAAGGATTACAATGGAGTAAATTGCAAAAGGATTATGATGAAGTATCTAAGTTTAGTTCCAACTGCAGGAAACTTAAATATTTATAGCACAAGCCCACATTTGTTAACTGCAACATTTTAAGACTACAGATTAATACATTGAAAAACAAGAACACTTTCTGTTTATTGCCCATACTATGGCTGACCAGATAATTGGTGCAAAACATCTGGAGCTTACCAAATTATCTTCTCGTGGAATACAAGCAGTGGTGGGATTCAGCCGGCAGAACTGGTAGCTAACTTTTTGTTTCCCAGGCCCAGAATGGACTTCCAGAAGCAGCATCCACACAGAGAACTGGTTGTTCGCCTATTTGAATCCCACCACTGAATACAAGGTATTGTTCAGCTAAACTCATTAGATGAATGTTTCCCAATGTTGGCAACTTTAAAATGTGTGAACTTCCACCCCCAGAATTCCCTGGCTAGGGAATTCTGAGAATTGAAGTCCACACTTCTTAAAGTTGCTAAGATTGAGAAGCCACACACTAAACAAAGAACGTTATAGCTTGAGGCTGAGTAAGCTAAAACCAAAATATTTCTCTCCACTATTTGGAAATACATTTTCTGAACAAGTTTATAATGGTTATACTTTAGAGTGAAAGCAAGATTTCTCTGTTGAAAATTGCTCCTTGCATTCCAATACATGTAAACTTATTTTTCTCCAAAGGAAATCAGGGCATGGAGAAGTTACGGAATCTGGCCACACCTAACTTTCTTTGTTCTTTAAAGAGGAACAAAAAAAAATCTGGTATTTTGCCAGCTTTCTGTTCTGTGTTGAAGGGATTTACAGTATTTTATTTTTTAAAGGCTCCTTCATATAATTTTATAACATAATTTTCCTGGCTGCAAAGGTTTACAGTGGCCTTTTTCTAGAAATCAGGGTGTAGGCTTCACCTCCCAATCTGGCCTATAGACAGGAGGTTTCTTCTGATCTACCACTCAAATACTAACCAGGTTCAAATATTCTTAGTTATTCATGTCCAGTTGGTTGCTGCAATCTAGCTTGGACTTTTTTTAAAAAAAAGTTGAAAAGCATTATAACAATACCCAACAGAAAATTAGACCAATCAATTGAATGTCTATTACTTATAAAGCAAGTTTTACTCGATGTTTTAGCATAGTAGTAGTTTTTAGAATTTTTAATACTTTTACTCTCCATTCATTCAGTTTCATTGTGAAAAGGCTCTGAATTCAAGGGAATCTCAAAGTTCAAACTCTCAGGAATGCATTTATGTCTTTTTTCAGCAAAATCCTGTAACATTAGTGCTTAAAATAGTGAAAAGAAGCAAATATCATCATATCCACCTGCAAATGGGGAGGAATGGCTACCACAATTAGGAAAACAGACCCAATGGTTGCTAACAATCAGAGTAAGAAAACAAAGACTCAGCCAATAACACTAACTGGTTATATGTCACAATAAGCCAAAATCCTGCATTCATGGTACAAAAAAATAACATCTCAGAAAAGATTTATGAGGATTTGTAACATAAGGCAAATTATAGCAATGCATCCATTTCCCAAAGCATGTCTTTCTATACACCCTTGTGTAGGCTAAGATGACTTTAATTTCAGCTGGGATTGGTAAACACAGATAACTGCACAGCTTACAGAAATATGCTCACTCACCTACCTGCACCTGTATTAGTAATGAACTATTTAAAAGAAAACAACTTTCATAAATCTGTCACCTGGCATTCTTGTTTATTCTGTCTCAACAACAACAATTACTATGTTATAGAAAGTGAGCCAGTACTGTGGTGTCCTGTACATACCATTTGTGATAGTAATGCGCCGGCCCTGGTAGAATTCCCCAAGGGTCACTGTATTGCCTTGCTTGGTGGCCACAACTCGCACAGTCCTGGAATTGTCTTGACATTCCACATAAGGGTTGTATCCTGGATTGTTTGCTTGTAGTTGGTTGTTGATCACAGTGTCCTGGCTGTTGGGGTTAAAAGCATCAGCCAAGCGGCTTCGACAGTAAGATTTATATTTCCATAAGACAATAGGAGGTTGGGTTGCTGTGGTCTGATAGTTGCACTGTAGAGTGACAGGTTGAAATAGGATGACTACGTTGAAGGGATTTGGCACACTGACCTGCATTGCAATGGCAGAATCTGTAGATTGGAACAGATAGAAGGAAATGGTTAATAAAAACAGTGTCCCTAAATACTACACACTTTCTTTCTACAGCATTCCTTCCTTCTAGTTATTATATCACAAGACAGCCAGAGGTGGCTTATCTTCTTAGCAGTCTCCTTGGACTTAGATGAAGAGAAGGATGAGGGAGGACATGATAGCAGAGTTCCAATATCTCAGGGGCTGCCCCAAAGAAGAGAGAGTCAAGCTATTCTCCAAAGTGCCTGAAGGCAGGACAAGAAGCAATGGATGAAAATTAATCAAGGAGAGAAGCAACCTAGAACTCAGGAGGAATTTCCTGACAGTTAGAACAATTAACCAGTGGAGCAATCTGCCTCCAGAAGCTGTGAATGCTCCAACATTGGAAGTTTTTAAGAAGAGACTGGACAGCCATTTGTCTAAAATGGTATAGGGCAGGGGTAGGCAACCGTGGCTCTTTTATGAGTCATGGACTTCAATTCCCAGAATTCCTGAGCCAGCATGGCTGGCTCAGGAATTCTCGGAGTTGAAGTCCATGACTCATAAAAGAGCCAAGGTTGCCTACCCCTGGTATAGGGTTTCCTGCCTGAGCAGGGGGTTGGACTAGATGACCTCCAAGGACCCTTCCAACATTATTATTATTATTATTATTATCATCATCATCATCATCATTATTTCAAGACCGTACAAATTTTCAACCATTTAATTATGACAATTGGACATTTGAATGAGCCTTGCCTTCTTCCCCACCTTCCAACAGGAAGTTGGATCAGCCAATAAACATCAGCATGCACATCTCCACAAAACAATAGTTGAGAATTGAGGTGTGTGCACATCAGCCATCTGCAACCTATACTTATCCATCAACCCCTTCACAGCATAGATGTGTGTTCACCAGTTGCGGACATGTCTAAATCAAGCTTATGAAGGACAAAGAGGAAAGAAAGAAGATTCCCTTGCTTTTTATAACACTTCAAAGTGCAGAACCAAGGTGCATCTACCACCCTCCCCGGCAATTTGAGGTACTATTCATTACAAGTCCTGAAAATACATTTCGAGGGATCTAAACTGCAAAGATGCATCTACTGCACAATATTAAAAATCTACTTTCCGGAATGCCTATCTGGTTGATTCTTAGAAATTCTTTGTTATGAAAGGCAAATAAGTGAACAGCTTACCAACCTATCAAGATCTTTATTTCTTTCATTCAGCGAGGATGCTGCCACTATTCAGAGATGTCAGGGTAGTCATTTTTTAGCTTAGTCTTACAAAACAGGCAACAAAAATTCTAGCCTAACAAATGTCAGTCCTGTATTAAGTAAGTCTGGTATTCTAAGGCAAAGTGTAAAAAGTACAAGATGCCAATCTCTCTTTTGTGTCTTCCAGAGCCCTACCAAGAACAGAAAGAATCAAGACTTTGGATCCCTTGTTTCTTTTTTTCAGAGGGCTGGGGGTTTTAAACAGAGAAATCAGCAATACTTTTTAAGACTTATATCTCATTGTTCAAAACTCCTGAAACTTCCTCCCTCATCCCAAACAAAACCTGATTCAATCCTTAAGCTAAAAGATGGTTCTCCCCCTGTATCCTCAGACCTCATATATAAATCAGGGTTTTCAATAAAATGATTACAATACAGAGAGATATGAAGTATAACTGACTAATCACAATATTCACACAACATTCTACTTCAGGCTCAAATTCTATTATAGTTGAATAGCTAAACCATTCCTTGGATTTGGTTTAGTGCAGTGGTTCTCAACCTTTTTAATGCCGCGACCCCCAACTGGTCGTAAGTCGAGGACTACTCAACCGATCGTAAGTCGAGGACTACTCAACTGGTGCAGCACCGTTTGCAGAATGGGACTTTTGGCGGGCTCAGCAGGGCAGAGACAGCCTGGACAATTCCTATTGGCTTTTGAAAGCCAATAGAAGTAGACTCTATTCAAGAGAGTCTATTCTATTGGCTTTCAAAAGCCAATAGAATAAAAGGGAGTAGCCCAACTAAGGAAAAGGGGAAAAAAATAGCGGACTGCGTTGTTTGGCGACCCCTGTGAAATGGTCGTTCGACCCCAAATGGGGTCCCGACCCACAGGTTGAGAACCACTGGTTTAGTGGGTTGTATGAACCCAATAAAAAAACAAAACAATGTCACAAAAAGACCGCCTGCAATAAACTCTCCAAATATATCAATATTCACTGAAAAAAGCTTGGAAGAGTAAATCAGCTTTTATTTGGTAGAAAAAGACAGACAGTCACACCCTTATTGTTCTTTGGGGAACAACATTCAAAAGATCAAAAACCTCTTAGAAGAGCCCTGCTTATATTTACCAGCCAATCGCAAGGCATTTTCCACTTTTGCAAAATAATGGCAAGTTTTATTTTTACATTGGCTTTTTTCAATTGTCCAATAAGAAAACCTTTTTCACTTTTCTACTTTCTAAGTTTTGTTCTGACTAACAAGTTTTGTTCTGACAAAGCTAGTCTATCTCCATGCTTATCTCGTGCTCACAGTCTCCTCTACTCTTTTTATTTGTTTTTGTGGTTTCATTCCAGCCTGAAAAGGGGTTGGCACTAGGATCAGTTTCCTCCCACAAAGGACCTGCAGTTTCGGGGTGTGTGTGTGTGTGTGTGTGTGACAAACGCTGCTCCAGTCTGGATCAGTCATCAGCCTTCCAGGAAGACAAGTCTAAAAGGGCACACCTACAGGTTTCAAACAAACACATAGGTGGTCTTGCCACAGAAACCAAAAAAGCTCCTTGATTATTCCTGAAACACCCCCCTTTTCAGAGGATTAAGGATTAGGAGCTGACTAATTCTTCCCTTCCATAGGTCATATATTTACCTTGCAGGAAAATGATAATATGCCAAACACGACACACCCTGCCATGTGTTGGTCAACCTGCCTACTACTAGGATGTGAAAAACAACCTAAGCAAAGGCATAAAGGAATTATTTTGGCTTCAAATCTTGCATTTCAAATGCTTACTGTAGAGCTACCCAAATAAAGTTTTATGGTAATAACACTGCATACTGCGGACAAGCTGTGTCTTTGGCTCTAGGTGGAGAACCTCACAACTATACTTTCTGTCCTTAGCCGAGTTGGAAAACATTTAATTTTGCATTATTGGTAGAAGCATGAAGAAGGGAAAAAGCCATGGCTTCTTCAAACCACCCCATTTCCTTTCCCTGGAGGGTATATTCTTTGTTCCTTCCAGCAGGCAAGACAAAGGCAAAAGAACAGGAAAAGCAAAGGGGGGGGGGGAGAAAGTATTTTCCTCCTTTCTTGGGCTATGAGCCAGATAATACATAAAAAGAAATCTTGACCTGAGAAGAGCCAAGGACATTTTCCCTGTGAAGAGGAAGGCAACTAGCTAGCTTCAGTCGGAAAAGAAAAAGCTTGGGGAGGGCTGGAAAGAAAACACAGTAGCATCCAATATGGTTGATTATAGTGATTAAGGGGCTAAGGAAACCAGACTGAAGTCCACTCTCAACCACAGAAATTCACTGTCTTTGGACTGGTCAATATCCTTCAGCCCGGCATATTGTACTTTGCAGAGTTGTTGTTGAAGAGAAATTGGAGCAAATGTTATGTATGATTCTGGCGGAAAGATGGGATATCTACCAGAGAAACACAATGACAGTATGAATGTGCAGATGCTCATTCACAAAAACACCAACTGCAGATCTAAGTCTCCACCCCAGGCGCATTACCGCCTTCGTACCATCGCATCATCATAACCTCAGAACACGCCTGAAAACAAGTTTAATAAAAAGGAGTGACATCATGATAGCAGTGTTCCAATATCTTGGGGGCTGCCACAAAGAAGAGCGGGGTCAAAGCTATTCTCCAAAGCACCTGAAGTCAAGACAAGGAGCAACGGATGGAAACTAATCAAAGAAAGAAGCAACCTAGAACTAAGGAGAAATTTCCAGACAGTTACAACAATTAATCAGAGGAACAATCTGCCTCCAGAAGTAGTGAATGCTCCAACACTGGAAGTTTTTAACAAGAGACTGGACAGCCATTTGTCTAAAATCGTAAAGGGTTTCTTGCCTGAGCAGGAGCTTGGACTAGAAGGTCCAAGGTCCCCTCCAACTGTTATTCTATATTCTAAGTCACTGCAGCCTACCTTCACTTAGCCCCACGTCCGTTAACCATTCCAAAAGCTGCGTTGACCTCTTAATCGGGTTCATTTTAAGTGAGTCTCCACAGACTGGATTGGTTTTTTTTTAAAGGCTCCCTTGTCTATAAGCCCCCATTGGGAGGTTGAACCCTAGAAAGTGGGTTAATTCAAAATCCCAATTCAACAGGTTGCATGCGCGCAGTCAACAGGTGCAGATCTGCTTTGTCCAGGAAAAGCGCCCTTTCCTCCTGTCCGTCTCCAGAAAGTCGCCCCGGGGAGAAAGTTCTCACCGCACCACGACGGCCGGCGGCAATGGGAGAGGGGGCGAAGGGGGGGGGGGGCTTGGAAAAAAAGCGCGACCCTTTCGGGTTCCCCCGCGGCGGAGTCCGCGCGGGAAAAGCAGCGGGGAAAGCGATTGGCGGAGGGCCCTTGGCGATCGCCCAATCAGCTCTCGAGTTTCCTCTCCCCTGCGCCCTAAAGCAGGGCTCCCCGAGGAGTCCCCCCCCTCAGAGGAGGGCGGAGGGGCAAAAGGGCGGAGGGGTTTCGCCGTCGGGGGCGAGCGGGAAAAACACCCCCCCCCATTTCCCTCTCACTCGCTCACCTAAAATCCAGGCGGTGCCCAAGAACCACAACAGGGGCAGCGCGGCCGGCTGACGCGCCCTCCGAATCTCCATTTCCCAAACTTTGTACGGACTTTGAGCCGGTCCGCTCCGCGGGGAAAAAAAAGGGAAGGAGACTGGGGTATAAATGGCCCCAGACTCGTTCGTTGCCAATCCCGCCTGGCCCTCGGAGTTCTTCAGTGGGACTCCGCAGCTCGCTCCGTTTCGCCTCCGACGTTGCTGGGCGCCGCGGTCGGTGCGCGCCTCAGGTGCTGCTGCCCTCACAGCCTCGCCCCAGGAACGGAAGCTACCAACTCCTTCACAGGGAAGCGGGGAGCCTCCGCCGAGGCTTAGTCACGGGGAAGTTTCTTTCGGAAACCGACTCACTCGTTTCTTGACCTCGGGTTCACTTTTAAGGGCGAGCTGAATAATTGGGGGGGGGAGTAAGAACGAAGGTCCGCCTTCGGGTCTTCCCCCTCTCGGGGCGATGGTTAAGCCTCAAGGCGCTCTTGAATGTATTGAGAAGGAGCCGAACTATTTGGGAAAAGGGGGGGAAGAGAAGAGAAATTTTTTGAAGTCCTTCTCTGCTCCCCTTCCCAAGGAAAAGTGAACTTGCCCAGGTACTGTTTAAGAGGGAAAAAAACACAACTTTCAAATACCAGGAAAGGTGAAAGTTTACGAGTTTTGATTGATTTCTTTCTTTTTTTAAAAAAAGACTGTTGGTCCGGAGGCTGGAATTTAAGTTGTGGAAAATCTAAAACGTTGAAGCATCTCTGCTTGTTATTTATTGATTGTATTACTTTTGTGTTTCCAAGTATCTGTTTTTTGTTTTGTTTTGTTTTTTAAAAAGAGTTTTCTATGGGTTGAAATTTTTTCAAAGTGGTTTTTAAAGATTTCTTTGATACACAATCTCGTTTTAAAAATATGAATAATATAAAGTGGTCTTGTTATCTCGGCTTCCAGGATATGCATTTTATATAGCAAAACATTCAAAAGGAAATAAAATTGCCACTAGATTTTAAAAAATAATAATTTCATCCAAGATGATGAATCAATACTGTGTCTGGGTGGGATCCAGTCTTCCAGAACAAGGTCAGTTTTAACAGTAGCATTGTTCTGCCTATTATGACATCAGGAGTGGTGTCACAGCTGGATTTTTTTTTCCTTCCCTGAGTTTTCTTAATAGGTCAGTACCCAGCTTGCCATGTCCGGTTGGGCACCCTTGTGGGCTTTGTTTCTGGGTCTGTTCTTAACCATCATTGAAGGTAGCCATTATGAAGGCCACTCACTGGGCCAGCCCTGTCTCCCTGGCCATCCTTGCGTGTTAGCATTTATCTCTGAAAACCCCGTGATGCTACGTTGTCCACGCTCTTCATACAAAGGCCATATCACTTGGCAATACCTTGACCCATCTTGGACCGATGAGCAGCCTCTCACCTTCTTGCGCTCAGGCGGGACTTCTTGGCCCTTGTTTAGCCACGCCAAGCTGCAGAGACTACGTTTCAAATCCCGACTGATCGCCAGCAGCCTGTATATCCCAAGACCCAGTACAGAAGATTCTGGCCTATACACCTGCCGTGCAGGAGATGCCACCCTCGGCTATTATGACGTTGATTTTCAGGATGCCAGGCGTCTCCATGTTTCACATGCAAGCCTAGGAGAAGCCACTTTGAGCAATGTTACGGTGCAGCTAGTAAATGGAACGCAGGCCACCCTGTTCACCTCCTGGAGCCCTTGGCAGTCTTGCGACCGCTGTGGTCATCCTGGGGAACGGAAACAAGTGGGGTTTTGTTATGCCCAGATGACCACGGTGGACTCTGAGGAGGAGGAAAGACCATTGCCTTGTGGGATAGCCAGGCAGAAGTATTTGATGTTGCCACAACGGGAACCAGAATTGAGGATAGAAGCCTGCCAAATGCCCTGTGACATATACTTGACCGGCCAAGAGGAGGCATACTGGGTACCATTCTTGGTCTTTACCAGCTACCACCCCCAGCAAAAAGCCATCGCTCACCTTCGCTGCCCAGCGTCTTCCATCTACAGGTACTACCTAAGTCTTTCCTGCCCCCATCAGGCAGGGGTCTATGACAATTGGCCGTGGCCAACTCGCCACGGCCAACTCATCCCAGCCAACTCGCCATTGCCAACTCGCCACAGGACAACTTGTTGTTGGACAAAAGTTACACTAATAACAAAAAAAAATATGGTGGAATAGAATCATTAAAGCAAGGATGGAAAAGGAGGGACAGAATGAAATGGGAGATTGACAAAAATTAAAATATTTTTTGTATTTATTTTAAATAATTAAAAAGAATTGTTAAATTGTTGCACAGTGAATTGTCTCATGGCAAGTTGGCCGTGACGAGTTGGCCAGGGCGAGTTGGCCCATTCCCTCAGGCAGACCTCCAGTTCTGTTTAGCATATACACAAAATGTAGTTGATTCTCTATGGCAGTGTTTCTCAACCTTGACATTTTTAAGGCATGTGGACTTCAACTCCCAGAATTCCACAGCCAGCAATGCTGGCTGTGGAATTCTGGGAGTTGAAGTCCACATGCCTTAAAATTATCAAGATTGAGAAACACTGCTCTATGGTATGGGCTTAGTGTATTGTAGTCACTGTGGTTTGCCTATGATGTGCTAAGTCTATCAATTGTTTATTCAATACAGTGTATTCCCAGAGCAGGTCTACACATCCTACTAAGCAATAATGTGCTTTGTGGTTGAGCTTAGTGTACTGCAGGGATCTTCAAACTTGGCCCTTTTATGACTGGCTGAGGAATTCTGGGAGTTGAAGTGCACAAGTTATAAACGGGCCAAGTTTGAAGACCCCTGGTGTACTGTATGAATGCAGTCTTTATAGTCTGCAAACTTGTTGATGGCTTATTGCACTGGAACCTGGGCATGGTTAAAGCAAATCGTAACTTAAATATATAACCTCTCTGATTTGTTCCCAAATTTAAAACTGCTATGACTGTTGTTCCTTTTCTCCATAAACATTCCCTACATGATCTTTAGGTGAAAAAAGGGACGTATCAAAAATCATGTGATATTTGTAAGCCATTCACAAAGCTGTTTCCTCCAAATCCGTCTAATATTGTTTTTATTATTATTCCTAAGGAGTCCAAATTCTTGTTAGGTTTTTGCAATCACTTAGAGACATCTTAATACAATACAGCTATTATTTTCACCACACTTAATTATATAGTGGGGTTTTTTTTCTAGAAGCAAACTTTGTCAAATTCGTGCACTCAGGATACCAGTTTTCCTTATCCAAATTTAATTGGTTCCACCACTTAGGCTGTCACCAGCAGCCTTAGCACCATGAACAGGAGAAACGGGAAATGTTGATTTAATTCTCTTGGTTTTGCTTGTATCTCTGTACATTGTAAAAAGAAAACAAGCAAGTTAAACATTGATGAGTTACATGAACCTTTCACCTTCGCATAGCAGATGGAGTTCCAGTTCTGCAACTTGCAGCAAGACTGTTTTAAAAAAAAAACCCAATAACCAGGAGAAACTGAATGAAGCACACACAATAGAAACAGCTGCAGGAGCTCAAGGATTGAGCTAAGGCCAAGCCAGAGCTAATGTTAGCAGAGCAAGCAATTAACGGCATGTTGATCTGTCTTATTATTATTCTCCAGGTGGTAACATCTGATTATCCTTGTCTGGGCTTATATGGAAGCCGCGCCCACCCCAGCTCTGGCAATGCAAAAAAAGTCATGATACGTTGCAACATGTCACGTAACACGGCAAGCTTGACACCGATGGTCTAGGGCAGGGGTATACCATTTCAGACAAATGGCTGTCCAGTCTCTTCTTAAAAACATCCAGTGTTGGAGCATTCACCGCTTCTGGAGGCAGGTTGTTCCACTGGTTAATTGTTCTCACTGACAGGAAGTTTCTCCTTAGTTCTAGGTTGCTTCTCTCCTTGATTAGTTTCCATCCGTTGCGTCTTGTCCTGCCTTCAGGTGCCTTGGAGAATAGCTTGACTCCCTCTTCTTTGTGGCAGCCCCTGAGATATTGGAACACGGCTATCATGTCCCCCCTTGTCCTTCTCTTCATTAGACTAGACCAGGGGTAGGCAACCTTGCCTCTTTTATGATTTGTGGACTTCAACTCCCAGAATTCCTGAGTCAGCATGGCTGGTTCAGGAATTCTGGGCATTGAAGTCCACAAGTCATAAGAGCGCCAAGGTTGCCTACCGCTGGAGGGTCTCCTGCTTGAGCAGGGGGTTGGACTAGAAGACCTCCAAGGTCCCTCCCAACTCTGTTATTCTGTCAGGTGGCTAACAGTTTTAAATCACAATAAAAATCAACTAAATTTAAAACCGCAGAGGTAACATAAAATAACTGAGCAGCTGAGAACTCCCCAGTGAATATTACCAAGATCAAGAAACATTTTCACCAATACTATCAGAGGAAGCTTCCAGGACAGCCTCATGTAGAGTGCCTTGCAGAAATCCGTGCAGGAGGTGACTAAGACACGAGTAACCAGGAAAAAGGCAGGAAAAAGGCACAACTCAAAGCTGTGGCTGGCCATGGCTGTTACCTGCTATTTCAGGACCCCCAAATTGTTGCGGTTCTAGGATGAATTGATGGACCAACAAATGAAGACATAGACAAGTCGATGGGCAATAAAGCATTATTTGAAAAGAGAAATGCTACAGCATATCTGTAAACTGAAAAAAAAAAAGATTCATGCATTGTTCTAGGCCAGAATGAGTAACCTATGAATTGTGGGCCCCGGTACCGTACAATTTTTCCAGCCCCTGAAGCACATTGTTATTTTTAGAGATGTGGTTTTGCTCCTTTTTGTGAGAATATCAGTGTGCTAAGCATCTGCTAAAATATCTATTTTGCAGAGAACACCTTCCCCCCCCCTCCTGCCAGGACACCTGCAAACATAAAAAATGAAATGAAAATATCAACCCCCTTCATCTGTATAGTTCTGGAAGGAATTAAGCAAGAAAAAATTAAGACCCTATTTGCATGAAAAGATTGCTTGCCTCTTCTAAACCTTTTTATAATTTGTTGAATGATAAATAAGCAAGAGTTATATCAAACTAATCTATAAACCGGTGTTTGCAAATCACGTCGGCTGGGTTTATACAAGACACTAAGCTAATATTGCAGCAATCCCATTATCACTTAGCATATTGTGCAAATTTCGCTGAATAGGCAACATAGGGGGAGATTGTTCAAGGATATGAAATATAGTAGTCCGCAACTTACAACAGTTCATTTAGTGACCATTCAAAGTTACAACGGCACTGAAAAATGTGACTTATGAACATTTTTTACAGTTACGACCTTTGCAGCATCCCCATGAGCACGTGATCAAAATTTTGACCCTTGGCAACTGGCTCATATTTATAATGGCTGCTGTGTCCCAAGGTCATGTGACCCACCTTTTGTGACCTTCTGACAAGGTCAATGGGGAAGCCAGATTCACTTAACAACCATGTTACTCACTTAACAGGGATTCACTTAACAAATGTGGCAAGAAAGATTGTAACCTGGGGCAAAATTCATTCAACAAATATCTCATTTAGCAACAGAAATTTTGGGTGCGTAAATCGAGGACAATCACCTCTGATATAAAATCAAGGTGGTACAAATGTAAAAGTTTACCAATTTTTGTTGTTAACAAAAACTGCCACCTTCATTTGCTGCAGTAGTTGTTGCAATCTAAATATTACTATCTGCTGAGAAGATAGCCAATTGGGCAGAATAATTCATTTTTAGAATATTTTAATATAAAAGCTCCTCAAAAATTGCATTGTACAGAAAGCCTCTTCTGCGATGAAGCTGGGTTCACACATTGCATTCAACCTCAGTGTGGTTAGGGCAGGGATAGGCGACCTTGGCTCTTATGACTCGTGGACTTCAACTCCCAGAATTCCTGAGCCAGCCATGCTGAGGGGAAAGGGAGATGTTTCCATGCTGAGCCATGCTGGCTCAGGAATTCTGGGAGTTGAAGTCCACGAGTCATAAAAGAGCCAAGGTCGCCTACCCCTGGGTTAAGGGATTGGTACTTCAGAGTGCTATCTGAACCAAAGTATCATGGCTTAGAAACCATTAGCTTTGCATGGGGTTTGAATCCTGTCAGCTGCAGTTTGGTCAACAAACTATGGCTTGGACTGAGATGAACCCAAGCTATTCCTGTAGCAATCTGGGCATTAAAAAAAAATATGGCATCTGTTGGCTTCCAATCCTTTGCTTTTATTCATAATGCTTTTGGGATGGATGTCTGATTCCTCGTCTTGTATGAATGACTTTGTCTCTTGCCTTCTGCAGCCCTGTCTACTGGCAGGTAGGTCTCACAACATTGACACACCTTCAACTTCAGAACTTCAACTTCTCCAGAAGTTCCCAAAGCCTGGACAAAGCCACTGGTGGTGGGATCCTACACCTCTCCTTCCAGAACGATTCACACAGCACTTTGTACCAGTGTTTCGTGAATGGACATTTAGCGGGCAAGTTTTTAGTCACCTCTCCTGGTGCGGTGAGCCCACCAGGGGAGCTGGCTCACACTTACTCCATCATTGAGGCATTGGTGGTGGGCCTCTCCATATTCCTTGTGTTCCTGATGTTTCTCAGCATAATCGAGTCCTGCAGGAAGAAACCAGAAACTACTGTGGTCTAGATGATGGTGTATGAACTTTGGTGGACACCTTAGGAAAAGAAGGTGTGGATTGCTGATTAATAAACATATTGACTGACTACAGTATACATTCAGATACAGCCTGGACTTTAATAAAAGGAAGGGTTAAGGTCAGTGGAGCTGGATATAATGCTTCTCTAAGCAGCATCACACAGAGAAGGCAGTGCACAATTTCCATCACCTAGAGCAGGGGTAGGCAAGCTTGGCTCTTTTATGACTCATGGACTTCAACTCCCAGAATTCCTGAGCCAGCATACTTGGCATCCCACCTAAAGGCCTCCTAAGGTGGTATTTACAACTAACCTACTACGGCCAATGATCTGCGAATTGATCTATAGCAGATCAATCAGAATTGCTGGGCTGGATTGGGCCCCTTTTCTCTTCCAAAATATAATTCAGGGTTCGTTAAAAACAGGGGTCTTCAAACTTGGCCCTTTTATGACTTGTGGACTTCAACTCCCAGAATTCCTCAGCCAGGCATGCTGGCTGAGGAATTCTGGGAGTTGAAAGTCTACAAGTCATAAAAGGGCCAAGTTTTAATACCCCTGCTTAAAAACATTACACTTCAAAAAAAAAAACAAAAAAAAAAACAACAACCTGGTTCAGTGCCAAGTTGGGCAATGGCTGCTAGCTACACTAGCACCACTGTGACACTAGGGGTCACTGTGGCATAAGATGCTCTCTGTATTTTGGTTTGCAATGCATTATTTGGAAAAAATAATGCCATCCTTATTTTTGTAAAGATGCTTTTATCTGTACTGGTTTTGTACTTGTCAAGAAGATGGGATAATCAGGTGAAGCCGGCAAATGGTGTGTTTGGATTAGCTTAGTGTACTGTGTGAACCCATTATGGTTTCATTCAGCTACTTTAAGTGTTTTACTTCTGTAAGCCACTTGGAGTCACCATGACTGAATTGGACAGCCATTTAAATTTTCTTAAGAAAAATTTAAAAATGTTAAAGTGAAAAACCAGGTGGAAATATTTTAAGTAACACCCTCTTGCATTTTTCCCCCTAGTTTCCCTTTTTCCAATAGCATCCTTAGAATAGCAATAGCACTTAGACTTATATACTGCTTCATAGTGCTTTACAGCCCTCTCTAAGTGATTTACAGAGTCAGCATATTTGCTCCCAACAATCTGGGGCAATAACAATCTCGGAACAATGGAAGGCTGAGTCAACCTTGAGCCAGTCAGAATCAAACTCTAGGCTGTGGGCAGAATTAGCATGCAATACTGCATTCTAACCACTGCGCCACCATGGCTCTTGAGAATCTTTGTATGTTTGATGTAACTTTGGAAAGTAGCTCAATGAGAAGTATTACCTATCCATCCAAAGGCATCAAATAAGCCAACATTTCAACTCCCGTCCCCAACGAGACCCATGTTTTTCCATTGAAATACTGGCTGTCTTCATCCTACGCTTTCACTGAACTCTTACACTGGATAAAGATGTAACACAAATTGCTTGGTCTTTATTTAGAGTATTGTATGAATCCAACCAGCATGGCTTATGACAAAGTATTGTGTAGATGCCCTACAATTGCATTTCATTCTGCTAATCATGGTTAAGAAGATTTGACTTGGGGCAATGTATCCGTTTCTATGGTTACTCCATGTTTACAAATAAAGGTTAGAGGTAAAGGTTTGGGCAGCTGGAGGATGTGATAACTCCCAGTAAATTGTCCCAGGGCCAATGACATATTCAGTGCTACCCTCCCAACATATAGAAATATTTATACTCCAACGAGGACAATACACTCTTTCTCAGCTCTGGAGTGTAAGGCCTTAGCAGCCAGAGTGAATGTTTCTCTGCAGCCTTTGTCTTTACAATGAATCTCTGAATCACCCACCCGGTGCACACGGTTGTTGTCAATTGACTGATGCCGGATCACAACTGCCTCTTTGTCTTCAACTCCCAGGACGCACAGTGTGTGACTGACACGACTCTCTCTTTCCCCGTGCCAGGAACAGTCAGGGTGCAAGGACACTTCATCTTATCACTGAGGAAACAATTCCTTTGCCCGTCTTACCAGGGAGAAACCAGGCACTTGGACCTGCCAAATTTTTATTTTAATGTCCCTAATTGCAAATTGGCAAGGCTGAGTGAAGAGACACAGCTTTGCTCCAGGCCTTATGAGCTTCACTCCCACAATAGCACCAGACTCCTCATAGGGTTGAATTAAACCAACCCGAGATTTATCCAAAAACATATCCAGTCTGCTCAATAGGGCTCATAGATCATACTTAGTGAGCTCAGTCTGGGGACACAAATGACAAGCCAGTCAACATGGCCTTGGCATGTGCTGCAAGGCCCGGTTGGACGGTTGCCATCATGCAACTAAACCACATCTGCAGAATTACTTTGCTTTGGGGTCATGTCACCTGTTCACAAGAACCTTCCTCCACCTGGACCTTCCAGATGTATAAAACTACAGCTCCCACCATCCTCACCTAGCCAACCACTATTGGTTTTGGGAAAGCTACTCATAATAGAACAAGGATGAGGCCTGTTGATATCACAAATATATTCCTTAAAAAACATGACATCTGTCAGGTTGTCAGAGCTTGGGGAAAGGAAACGGAGGCAGAGTAAAGATGATGCATTTGTTGTCCCTAAATGCTACCTGCATCTGACACTAGTATCTTCTAGTAATCACTATATTCTAGCCAAACAATCTGTTTTGAAATTGACTTTCATCCGCAGACCGCAAGGTGGGAGCATTTAACCAAGGTGTTAGATTTTGCCTCTTCTTCTAAATCACCTGGGAAAATTGAAAGCTTGCCCTATTGAAGGCACTATCCACAATTTGTTAGTACGCAAGGCAGCCCTACTTGCACACAGAGAGAAGCTTCTTTAGCCCCATCTGTCCCTGAAGGGAGCCAGCGAGATGATCTTGGAACAGGAATCCAGAAGCCATTAGGTCAAACAAGCGATTCTAAAGAAACATAAGTCCAGGGAAGTGGAAAAGCATTTTAAAAAGATTCAGACTGATTTCCTGAGGTATAAGAAGGAGAGAGGGGGGAACATGCAGGTTTTCAAGATTCTGTTACTATAGTTCATCTCAATATAGTTCTAGTCTCCTTATGGATCAGTTTCCTGACGTGGTCTACCTTATAGGGCTGGCTGTATTGCTAACATGGAGATAGCTATTTTATGATTTATTAGCCATATGTGAAATTGCTAGGTGGATGCATTTCTCCCCCAATGTTACTGATAGCAGCAACAGAAGGGGGGGCTGTTTGATTAATGTTTTCAGTAACTAGGAGTTTATTTGATTGATGTTTCTAGTTCTTCAAGGAACAAAGAAAGCTACCATATATTCCAGCATATAGGGTGACCCGGCGTATAAGACAACCCCCAAGTTCGACGCTGGGTCGCAAGACGATCGACGCCGAGTCACAAGATGATCAACGCCGAGTCGCATGCCTAGAAAGTCATCTTATACACCGGAAACTACTAGTATTTCCGGCATATAAGATGATCGACGCCGAGTTGCATGCCTAGAAAGTTGTCTTATATGCCAGAAACTACCTTATTTCCGGCGTATAAGACGACTCGGCGTATAAGACGACCCCCAAGTTCGGGGGCTGTTTCAACGCTCTCAAAAGTTGTCTTATGCGCCGGAATATACGGTACATACAGCCTGATAAGAAAACTGTTCAAGCATCTCAAGGACTGACTTTAACTTCAGTTACTTGCAAACTCATCATCCCTCATTACAATGTGAGAAACACACCTCCTGAACATGTTGACGACCATTAACAAGATCATACTAAGGAATTATAGGATGTTACATGCAACAACCTCTGAGCCTGCATGCTGTGTCAGAGATATGGCAAATGGGGTTAACCAATGTGTTTGAACTGTATATGAAGTGATTCTCCACCTTTCTAAGGGGGCCCCTCAAATGGGTGAGGTGCCTTTCTTTGCTTGTGCGCATAAAGAGGTTTTTAGTCTATCTTTCCAGCTCAGGTTCTGACTGGCAAGGCACACCAGGCTAATGGATCTGCTGACATTTATGGTTAATATTTTTAGCCCAGTGTTTCTCAATCTTGGCAACTTGAAGATGTGCAGACTTCAGCTCCCAGAATGCCCCAGCCAGCCATGCTGGCTGGGGAATTCTGGGAGCTGAAGTCTGCACATTTTCAAGTTGCCAAGATTGAGAATCACCGTATTAGCCAATATCAACATTTCACCAAACGAAAACAAAAGTGCCCCCTTGCACAATCTCTGTCCTCAATTTCGGATATGCTCTCGCCTCCAAATTTGTTGAATGCCTGAATGGTTGTGGCGGTGAACCAAGATTATTTTTTTTTTAATCTATTTTTCCTTTTAATCAACCCAAGGTGGCTTGTGATGCTTGCAGGACAGAAGATTTTTGCAGAAATCAAGTCACTTCCATTTTGCTCCATCTTTGAAAACTTTCTCACCTTCCTTGATCTCTCTTTTCTTCCAACCAACAAGAATCATTTCATGGTTATCTAAAGATGCAGATGATTTAGAGAAGGAACAAGTGGTCTCCTTTTAAAAATGGGATGGATTAGCTATCATTATCTTTCTCCCAGAAGTCTTATAGGATCAAAATTGCTGATGTAATCTGTAAGAGGTATAAATAGCTGTGGTGAGGGGAGATGGGGAGGGCTTGCTTTGAGACCTTAATCACGAGCTTGAGGTCTCTATCTCTGCGCATAAACCGAGTTCTTAATATTTATTTAATTTATATGCCACCCATCTTGCTATCCAAAGCAGCTCTGGGCAGCTTACAATGCAGTAATATGTTCCCACCCAATTTTGTGTGATTACAAGCGGTACGTTTATTGACGTTTTAAAGTTACAATGCCACTGAAAAAAGTGACTTCTGACCGTTTTTCACCCTTACGACCGTTGCAGCATCCCCCTGGTCACGTGATCAAAATTCAGAGGCTTGGCAACGGACTCCTGTTTATGACGGTCGCAGGGTCATGTGATCACCTTTTGTGACCTTCGGACGAGCAAAGCAATGGGGAAGCCAGATTCACAACCATGTTACTAACAACAACTCCAGTGATTCCTTTAACAACTGTGGCAAGAAAGGTCATAAAGCAGGGCAAAATTCACTTGAGAAATGTCTTGCTTGACAAGAGAAATTTTGGATGGTCAGTGGTGGTCATATGGCGAGGACTACCCGTACTTGCTAACTTGCAGCAGATAAAAACAACACCCAGCTTTGGACGAGGCCAACACCCATTCAAAATGGCACCCAGTTCATGTTGATAATG